AGGTATTGGGGGGTCCCGTCCTTTGTGAAAGCCAAGGCTGAGCCCCTAGGCCTTGCCCTATGGGAGGCTCAATTGTCCCTGGATATGCCGGCCGAGCAAACAGTGGCCATCTTGTCCATAGCCCCCGCCCCCCGCCCCGAATCGATCCGATCCTTGGAGGTGATGAACATCGTGTCTCTGGCCTTGCCGGACTTCTGAAGGCCCTTGCCAACACCCACCTGACAGCTCCGAAATCCGAGAGTCCCCGGTCTGGCGGACCACCGCATCCTATCAGCTTCGGGTAGGATCACCAGAAGGAAGCCGTTGACTGACACCCAGGGTTTTGTCATCCTTTAGGAACGCCTCTGCGAGCCCTGGCTTCACTATGCAAAGCAAAGGGGGATACCGCTGCTAAGTTCAAATGGGGGAATCTCCAAATCACGATAAAGCCCTGTCCCCAAGAGAAGCCAAGCGCACACCCTTGCCATTTTAGGAGGCGACTTTAGGACACATCCAAATGTTTAAATGACTCCTTTGGAAGCCGTACCGACAAAAACAAAGCCCCCAGCCCTAGATTTGACATACCCACAGTACTGCCTGGTTCCCGTAGTCATAAGCAGTGTCGATGTGAGTGAATCCCGCTTTAAAGGCCGCCAGCACTACATCCTCCGCCACGGAATCGTTGTACTGCCAAGTGCCTACCACGCGCGGGGCATCAAACATGCCGAACAAATGTGTCTGTGTGTGTGTGTGTGTGTTTGTTTTTGCTTGCTACTGTATGCTACTGTAATTGTTTGCTTGGCTGGTTGAACGGCTGGTTGGTTGGTTTGCTGGTTGCGTGGTTGCTTGGATGCGTGGTTGCTCGGATGCTTGCTTGATGCTTGCTTAAAGCCTACTTAATGCCTGATTAATGCTTGCTTACAAGTGCTTGCTTATGCATGTATGCGTGTTTGCTTGTTTGCTTGCTAGTTTGGTAGTTTGCTAGTTTGATCGTGTTTGTTTGTGCTGTTTGCTACTTGTTGTGTTTTTATTTTGTCTTGCCTTGTTTCGTTTCGCATGTGTACTTGTGTTCGACGTTTGCTGCATTTGATGGGTCAGAACGGGACAACTCGTAGCTTTTGCTTCACACCTTTTTGAGACAAACCCAAATGGCCTGGGCCCGAAACCCACAAGGTTGCCCGATGAATCGGGCTGCGCTACAGGGCCCGGGTCCATTCTTGTCCTCACAAAAGGGAAGGCGGAACTATCAATCTACACACTCACTACTCAGGTGACCCTTAATTGGTGGTTTGGATTGGTGGTTTGGGTATTTGAACCCCTGTTTCTTGTTTAGGGTAAATCGAAAATGCCCCATCCTACAAACCACCAATCCAAACCACCAGTTAGAGGAAAGCTGAATTACTTGCATTCACTGAATCAATGAGCTTGGCAGGGCGCAACTGAAACTCCAAGGCCGACTTGCCCCCAGCAAGCCCCATGTGTTGTGCAGGTTCCAAACAGTGCCAGGCAAGCAGTGCTCCAGAGGGCAACTTGCCACTATGCCATTGGTAAACGTGATATTAAAAGAAACGTCTAGGGACACCCCACGTCTAGCAAAACAGGGCGTTGGGGCCGCTTTCTGTTTGGCAACCTCCTCGTGATCGCCGTCGTTCGCCCCTGGGGACAAAGCCTAGCTGTACCTTCCCCTAGTCTCAAGGATCCGTCTCTTCAAATGGGCCAAGCCCTGGGATTCCAAAGAGAACGATAGGTGCGGAGAATGGGCATCAAGCCTTGGAAGAAAGGGGCCAACCCGTAGTTTGACACTTTGCAGGCCTTGCACCCACCAGCCCCAGAAAGCATCGGGTTGCTCCTTTGAGCTGGGAGCGGTTGCTTAGGGCGGTCTAGGGCTGCATAGCGTTTGGTCATCAAGTGTTTGTTAAAATCCGTACATACATGGATCATTCAGTCTTGTTGGGGTTCTCGCACGTTCGTTGACTCGTTGTTCATTCTCTAGAATATACATCTAATACCTGGAAAAGGAATACCTGGTGAGCCTTTCTGGCTCCCAAAGCTCGCCATAAGAAAGGCAAACCTGTTATTGTCAGATTTGCTTATTTCGAGTTGCGGGGTTTGCTTGTGGCTTCAACCGCCAGCCACTGCCGGGCCCACCTGCAGCCATCACCGGCATCTGCACCCCGTTGCGCAGTGTGAGCTTGGGCATTGCTGCCGCTGGTGGGGGGCTGGGGCTGGAGGTGCCACAGCCTGGAGCAAGTGTTTCGGGCGGGGTGTTTGGGGAGTTGTCAAAGCGAACCGCATGGATCAATCCGCCCAATCCGAAGTCCAATCTGCCGAGGGAAAGCAGCACACATGGTGGCGATTGCCTTGCGCCACAGGCTTTCTTGTTGGTAGGTTTCTGGTAAAATGCCCACTTCCTCAAAGCCCAAGGCTACAGATTCAACCACGTAGCAGCCCAGCAATCCACGAAAATTGGTCTACGTCGAACCCAGGTGAGGTCGCTCGAATTTGCCCTTTGCTCACCTCGCCATTCAGCCAGCCATCCTACACCGCCAAGTCGTGGGGTTGAACCCGTGGAAAGCCTCCCAAAACGGGGTGCCCAGCCATGCAAGAGCTGGGAACAAGGAGGCCGATGCATCTTCTTAACGGCTCGTTTCCCCCCCCCCATTAAGCTTGCCATTTGTTGTGTGGTTCAGATCCACCCCAAAGTCCCCCCTTAATTCAAAAGGGTTTCTCCAAGGCAAACAAGTGCGATGATGGCAATGGCCATGCATCCTTTAAGGAAGCACGCTTCACGAAATTAAATAAACCAGGTGGATGGTTCATCACAACTAACATTGACTCGCTCTCAGGTTTTCCATTTCGACGCAAACGCCATACGAATGGGCCGCTGTACCTATTATGTATAAAACACATACAAATACCTCCTCCAAAGCAAGTTTAGCTAAAGCCTTTTCGGGTGTTTGTGTAACTGCCATTGTTTATGGGATTTGATTCCTTTTTTCTGGGCAACCTTGCTCAACTGAGATCTGCATGTTCCCCAGCCAGCCACCCCGCACTCCCCCTGACACAAAAATGACAGATACTTGTTTTCTTTCCACTGTAATCGAGAAAGCTGCTGCAGTATATGAGTCCAGGACTGCCATTCTTCAAGGACACAATTTCGTCACTGACAAATATTTGTTGAAAACCACTCGTGTCATAAATGGGATGTGGGAGCAGTTGCGTGACAAGGACACCTTCTCCAGCCACCAGTGCACCTTGTTCACTTTGGACGAGAACGAGAGACAACACAAAGGCGGTTGCTTCGTATGGCTTTCCCAACTCAAGCAGAAGTCATTGTCCAGGCGCAGGGTATGCAACAGGAGCGACCCGCCACTCCCCGTCTGTGCAATCCTGACTGAACACGAGAAGCAAACAAACATATCACGGAACCCTGACGACCACCAGCTTGTAGAGAAACCCCCTGCCATACCTCACGCACTTGACAGGACACGCACGCTTTTTGTTTGTGCACACACCCTGGTAGGAGAGTCCAGCTAGCAACAGCGGTCAGCCAGCCTTTGAGGCATCAAAGCAGCAAACCTGCACATTGGAACTCTTGCAAGCTGTTTATCGCTGATTCTGTTTTTCGGAGAACAACTCGTGAAGCCCAACAAGGGGATTGAACTATCCCACACAAGGTAACAGCGACTACCTCCCCCCACCCCCCGTTTCTGCGAACCTACTCCTTAGCCTTTTGAGAGGCAAGCCCACGGATGCACATCCCGCGCAATTTGCCACGCCTTGCAAAGAGGTGCCGGCCAGCGCTGCCGCCACCAAGCCGCATGCTGCAAGCGCCATGAGTCGCCGCTTGAGGATCGTGGGGGAGGGCGGAAGGCTCTCAAGGACACCCGGCTTCGGCTAGCTGATGCTCAAGAAAGCGCAGCGGGCACGCCGGGTTGGTGAGTCCAAAGCAACTCCCATCTGGCGATGGGCAAAGCAGGTGCCAAAGGGCAGGCAAAACAGAAGAACCAAACTATCACCCTTGTGATGTCCAAGACCCAAAGAGACACTCGGATTGGACCCTCCTTTTGACTTCTGCAGATTTACAGTACCACGAGTTCTCATCCACACTTGGCCCCCGCGTTATTTCCCACAAACGCATGGGGAAGGATCCCTTTTTCAGGGTAATCCGCCTGGTGAGCAATCCAATGCAGCTGGGGGCAGTTTGCAGGCAAGAACTCAAGAGCAGTCACAAATCAGAGTGTATTACACCCAAATGGGTTGGCAGCACCAATGGTTGATGTCAAATATTGACAGTATGAATGCTCCGTGTTACTGCATTCATGCAAACAGCTGCCTCCTCAATTCCCGCGAATCCTCAGAAGCGCACCAAGCTGACATGTGCAGGAACCTTTCTTGGGTTCGTCCCCAAAAAGGGGGGCCTAAGAGCTGTTTTTTTTGGGGGGTACCTAAACGGATGGGCTTCAATCAGAGTGCTTTGAAAGTTGACGGGGTTGCAGGTTGCACCGATTTTTCTCTTTTGTTTGGTGGCTTCCCAGGCGGTGAGTAGCGGGACCAAGGGGCCCGCTCCTGAGCCGTCCCGTGGAATCCTGAAACCTGTCCCATTGGTGGCTTCCCCACTAAAAGTTGCCAACCCCGCCAAAGTCATGCAACAGCTGGGAGGAGGCGACAGCATGGTGCTTCCCCGAGAGTGAAGGTTTCCCTCCAATGGGACACGCACCCTCCTATCAATCAACGCCGTGTTTTTGTTGTTTGGGGGTGAGTTCCCATTCGGTGGTCCCAGGCGCTCGCTGTTTATACAAAGGCGTTCAAAAAAGCCCGAGTTTGTGCTCAGGCTTTGCTAGTGCGAAATGCCATGTTTTGCAAACATGCATGGGCCACCTGAACGCGCAGGTCTCCTTCAAGTGTGCCCAAGTGATCAACCCAACAGGGGGGCAACCGGAATGGCCTCCATGTTTTGTGACGCTGACACCCGTCCAAAAAAATCTGGCGCACCCGTCCAAAAGGCGGCGGACCGGAGCCTGAGCCACGTCGTCCTCTTCCTCCTCCAAAGTCTCGGCGGTCTTGCAGACCGCCCGAGTGACCTGATCCCCCCGCCTTCCCCGCCTTCCCCACCAGCAGTTCGGAATGTGAGTATCTTGTTCTTTGCAGCCCCCGTCTGAAAATGAAGGGACCCGAAATGCCCAAACTGAAAGACATGCCAAGAAACGCGAAGCTGAGTTGAAACTTCAAACATTTGGTTCGCCATTTTGGAGATTGACCCCATCAGTCTAGCAAGCAGTAGCACGTCGAAAGCATTTGTTTGGGTCTTTGCAGGGGGGGTCCGCTTGGCATCGCGGCCATGGGCATGCGAGTGGACGCTCACTGGACCAAGCCGCTCGCATTTGGCAGGGACATACGTGTACTATAGCTTCCCCTTTCATACAGTCGCCCAAACAAACCAACCTGGCGGGTTCTTCCGGGGTGCCCCCAAAAGAAATTTCAAATTGACTCTTACATGGGACACCCCCTATTAACGGTTCCCACTTCTCAGTCCCGGTGCCACAAAGCCAAATCTGCGAAAGGTCGTGACCAGCCAGCCCATCTAGCGCTGCACACCAGGGTTGGGCCAACCCCGTGTTCAAACACCGTTGGGCCAGTTGTTGAAACCTCCCTCTTCATCTTAGCCTATTGGACTTGGATTTGAATCACTGGTTGTTGATTTGAACCAAAGGGAGGACTGCGGGCCCTAGCACCAAACCACGAGAGGGAGGCTGACTTTGGGTTGCCATTCGGCCGGTTCTGGTTGTAGCGAATGGAGACAGAAGCCTCGACGGGGCTTCTGAACTGAGGCTGCAACGACTCTGAAGCCCACATTGCCCTTTTTGCCCTGACAGTCCAGCCTGGGCAAAGAACCAACGCCATGTCAGGCATCTCTCTCTCTCGCTCTCTGGCTTTTGAGTGAGGGGTGACGCTTTGGCGTTTGAGAGGCTTGACTCCAAAGTTGCAGGCCATGTGTGTCATCCATTCTTGGCCACACCTAACAATTATTTCACTTGAGATGACTTAGTCCCTTATCTGCAAGACTTTGTGGGGCTGGCTTGTTACATTCACTTCCGTGATTGCTGGAAGCAGGGTAGTTATGGTGCATCCCAGAAGTTTAAGCCATGTATTCTGGCTCACGCCGAGAGGAGAGAAGAGATCCCTGAATAGGAAGAGGGCTGACATGGGCTCTGGGGGCCTGACGACATGGAGGTCTGAACGATCTCGTTCGCCTGGCGACGCTGCCACTAGTGTTGCTCAAAATGGGGGGAGGGGAGGAAAAACGCACACCCTATACACCCTCGCTAGACATTGCACCATTGAAGGGGGAACACGGGATGACCAGCATCCCTCAGCATCCCGTCCCGCCGGAAGAGGCTCTTTCCAAGTGACCAAGTCGTGCTTCCACTGAGTTCTTCTGTTTCCTCTTTTCTCTTTTGGTTGGTTTACACTTTGCGCATCATCTTTTGCGATAGTTCAAAGTCAATTTTTTCAGTTTGGGCAGCTTAAAGTGAGTTTCCGTCTGGTGGGGTGATGTTTCAAGGGAACATCTAGGAAGCCTTGCAACAAAAGCGGCGTTCCATCCCTAAGGAGTTTAATGAGTCAAGTCCACGTGAAAAAGGGCAGAAGTGGGGAGCCAAGATCCACAAAGCTGGCCGTCCGGAAAATGCTGTGGAAATCAATGGGGGGCGCTGCCACGCGATTAAGCATGGGCATGTGAACGTGAAGACTGTTCCTGAGCATTTGCATGAGCCAACCTAAATGCGAGGTCCCTATAACACTAGGAACGTATAATTTATCATGGATGAGGTCCCAAGCTGCCTATGGATTAATCCAGTGTGTGCGGCAACAGTGACTTTTACGGAGCAGGGCATGGTCCTTGGCGGAGAAACACACTGCACCTCACCAAATCTCTTGCAAGTGCGATATCCGTTTTCGATCATTGCATTGGGTCAAGGACAGGCGTTATTGTTGATTCTCAGGTGTTGCAGGTAGGGAGCAATGGGAAGTCGGGGAAATTCCCGCAGTTCCAGCGTTTTGCGGGTGGCTTGCTTGCTTGCTTCAGATCTAGCAACCCGCCAGGTTCCACGTTTGGAATTGTAACGACCTTGCTTGACAACAATAAATGGGTCAACTGCCCAAGCGAGCATGGCTCGAGGTGTTTGGGATTCTATTCGGGCCCCGCTTCCCACCAACCTGGGCTGCTTTCTGCTCCCCTGCTAAAAGTTTAACTTTTAGAGGTTTAATGGGAAACCCATTAGTTGGCAACAAGTGAACGCCCCAACATCCAAGCAAAGTGCACCAAAGAAACCTGGGCTGCTCCGGGCCGCCTGCGGTGTTACGCGGAGCTGCAAGGGCTGCCCTTGTGCAGCCGCCAGGCGCCGCAGGGGGGACAAGGCGTAGGCCGCAGTCCTGGCACGGGCCGTCCTCAGATCCCCTGCTGAAAGTTCATGATTTTTGGGCTACAGGGAAGCCCAAGCACCAAGCCAACCAAAAACAAAACAAACTGAGGGGACGGAGGGGAAGCGAGAAGAGATGGGGGCTAACCAATTCGAATGAGGTTGTGGGGTAGCATCGAACCAAATTAAGCCAAGATCATGGGAACATGATCTTGGTAATTATTCATCCCCGTATGTTACGGGCAACCTCCAACTACTCTGAACCTAGGGTCCTTCTTTCTAGAAAACCGATGGAAACGCAGAAGCAGCTAGTTTGGGAAAATCACCGTGGTTGAAAATACTGGGGCACCCATCGGCACACGTCAGCAGATTTCAGCAGATTTGGCCCCTAGTGGGGGCCAAGGGAAGCCAACCTTATGTCTGATTCCCTGGTTCTTGTTTGGGGTGGTTCTGGGAAAGTAAGGGGAAGCCCTAAACGTAGAAACACTCTGTGGGGCCTCCGGATCACTGACAGTTGTTTGCTGGGCGTTTAGGCCTAAAATTACCACAAGGACAGTTGCCTGGCGGTTGCTGGGCTGTTGTTTGGCATTGGATTGCCTGGCCTCAGAAAAGGAGATCCGGAAGGGGTCTTCGTGTTAGGGGCATTCATGCCGTGGACAAACATCCTTATGAATACTGGCATGCGGCACCTACCAACTGGTGCAGTATTGTGTCAGTATGGAGGCTATGCATGCAAGCAACAATAAGCAACATTAGCTTGCAAAATATGTTTGCCCCTGTCAGAAGCGACCTCCAGGAAACAAAAACCCCAGCCCGTCTTTTGGTTTCCGCTTTTTGGCATGGAGTTCTCTAGGCTCCCCCATGGACTCCTGGAAGTACGGAAGGGTTCAGTTTCGGAGATCTATGCAGATCTGTTTCTTATGTCTACCGGGAATGCAGGAGGTTTCCTCGAGCCTCCCACCGGCTACCAACTAAACCCCACCAAAGGCTGGTCCTGAGCATCCAACAAATGTAAACCTCACTGCAGAAGGACCTGGGACCACTTTTTGGGCTACCATGACTAACATGGACCAAATCAGACCAACGACCAGATTCCAGCTAGCAAGTGATGTTGGCTCTGTCTGGCGATGGGACGAAATTTCGCCAAACGGCTTTCCAGCACCTTCCGACAACTGCTTCTCTGACAGTACTCGGGATGGGTTGGACACGGGACCACGCTGTCGCTTGGGGGTGCCGGTTCCGCACTAGATTGTAGTTTCTCTGTTTGACTTGTGTGGCGCGCCAGTGAGAAATCTGCATGAAATAAAAGGCTAAGACCAGAATCGAGAAATCCAATGAGGCGACCAGGAACGCAGCTGGGTCCCCTCTCAAGGGGCATCCCTCCAAAGAGGCCACACATACCGCATCGGTTCGCATGGTTAGCCTCGAAGCTCTTGAAAACGAAAAGGTCGGCACTTTCAAGTTGAGCAAAAAACAGGGCTTTGAGAAAAACAAGGGCTGCAATGGAAAGTGACATGACCTTCTCACTTCCTGAGCGGATTGGCCCAAACAAGTCCCAACCTTCTTGTTTATCAACAAAACGGTCTTCCCAAAAAGGAGAAAGTCCAGGAACTCAGGGAGTGACCCTTCATACTGATTCCACATAATGGCACGCATGAATCAAAGGCCTTCCCCCAAAGCCGCTGGCAACAAGCCGGTCAGGTCTTCGCTCAGGCCCCGGGCTGCAAAGCTCGCAGAAACGGAGAGATGTACCATCTCCTGGCACTGGAACTTCCAGCTTCCTAAGAGAAAGGTCCGGAAAAAGACAACATAAATAATAATAATAATAATAATAATAATAATAATAATAATAATAATAATAATAATAATAGTAAAATACAAAGAAATGCCCATCCTCTTTGATTTTCTTGCAACATAAGGTCCCGCGAAAACACAAAATTCGCTTGCCCACCCCCTTTGGCTTCTCTTGAAAGGCATTAGGCCATTGGGCCTCTACCTTGCCATGGGCTCAGGTCCCAAATGAGGGCCTGACAGGGCATCTCATGGCGAAACAGAAGCCAGTTTGGACATTTGCTTAAGTCCACTGGGAAGAATCCAAATATGTCTAGTAGTGAGAGGGTCTATTTAAAACCAAGAGGGGAAAATAGCACATATTCTTAAGCAAATGGAAGCACGGTGATCACCTTTTGGCTGTTAAACATGGACAAGTTCTAGGGGACAAAGATCAAAAGGTCGATTCGCTTTGGACAAGCGAGACAATTCTGATCTTCATTTGACCCGTGTTGAACAAATGGGCCCGTTTCGAATGCTACACACACATGTGCATCCTTTGGTGCAAGCGGTCGGAACCCGTCTGCTAGAGCCAATGGTCGCCTGAATTTAGGACTTCATCAGCAAGCTTACCGATCTCACCTGAGGCAAGAATTTCGCAACGCCTAATAGGGTCTGTTGCATGTATGTAATCAACCCCCTGCAAAATCCCATTCTGAGGCTTTACCCCTCAGAACAATCCTGCCTGCCACTGAACAACCAACCACTAACACATCAAGAAAGCAAGGATGCGGTATCCAGTCAGCAGGCACGGCTGTTGATCAAGTGGTTATTCACAATGCCTGTCCTCAAGCCGCAGTCAACAAATCTGGGGCTAAGTCATCCAGTGGGTGGTGCTTTAGTTGCTGAAGGAAACAAGCATTCGGTAGAAGGCACCTTCCATTGGGTTCGTGGCTGAATGGTGCAAAGGGAACGGGCCCCTAGAGTTTAACGTGGCCAACCTATGGATTTCAGCCCATCGAAAAACATTAAGGGGTTCGAAACTATTGTCGGAGGGCAAATCCAACTGCCTGAAACCAGGGAAGCAAATTAACAACTAGGGGTTGTAAGCTGGTGCTCGGAAAGCTGGCATTTGCTCGTTGATGTCAGAGCCCACTTTTGTCCATTTGCCTGCTCAACATGTACCATAATGTTCCCCCCTGTTGATCAACCAGGGGTTTATTTATCCGGGGTTAACATTACGCAAACGGCACCAGACCGCTTTCAAGCTTGGCCTTTTTCGCATTGCTTCGCTTGGGCTGATCGTGCTATTCCAAGTGGCCTTCCTTTTTCGCACAGTGGCCGCGCACGCACAAGGACGCCCTTTTGCCTCCAGTTGCTCGTGTCTTTCTTTTTGGCAGTTGCTTGTGTCTTTCTTTTTGTCAGGGAAATTCCCGCTATCCGTGGTGGTGTCATTTTATCCAGGGATACCCCACCCCCGAAAACAAGGACCAAGAACTGCAAGAGCCACGGGTGGAGTCAACTGGGTAGCCCAAGAGCCTCCCGGAGCGCGCCGGGCTCGCAAGGCTGGGCATTGGACGCGCTGGACTTCCAGCTGGGGCGACTAAGGGTTTGGCTTTGGACGCCTCTAGGCTGGGTGTCAATCAGAGGCCCTGGAATAACATATGGCTGTTCCAAAAAAAAGAAAAGTACCCAAAATGGAACCCTGGCAAGGGGAAACATGGGCCAACACCTGCGTAGCCCCTCCTGTTTAATTTTGAGCCACAGCCGTATGAGGTATTTAGGGCCCACACACGTTTACATACCTTTGTACTTTCGGTCGCGCGAGGGAAGATAGCAACGCGAAGACTGCACTGCTGGGCTACGGGCATGGTGAATTTATAGAACGGGTGTTCAACCCCTTTGCCAGACTTTGTGGTTCTGCCTCGGGCAAACTTCAATGTAAAGATCATCTTTCTGGTCCAGCATGCAGACGAAACCGCATGTTGCTGTGGTTGTTGCTCGTGTTTTGCTTGTTCTGGTGGTGGTGGTTCTCCTTGTCACTTGTAGTTGGTTGCAGTTTGTGTACAACAATGTCGACCAACCAGACAACAGTGGCGACCTGGGCCGAATCAAAGTTGCGGCTTGCATAAGGGTTCGCTTTTTTGGCAGAGTACAGAATGTTGCAGACCTAGGGTACCAACAGAAAGGCTCGCAGCAAAGAAAGCAGCTAAGAAGGTTCACAAAATCTTTCCTGGGGTGAAGCGTGAGGGCCTTTGTTTTCTCCCTGGTACAAACTTGGGGCGGCGACCCCACGCTTCGGCACGCGGTGGAACTATTTGCCTGGCTTGATAAGTTGTTTTGGATTTGGGGAATGCTTCGCCCGAAGAAGTGAAAGACTCCCTATCAAATGATAACGCTCCCCTGTAAACCGGTTGGGTAATCCTGCTCGACATTAAGGCCAACACACCCCTTCACTGCAGTTCGCCCAGGACAGGCATCCGTGAATTCAGGCCTCTGGAGAGCCAAGCTATTATCAAACTTCCTTGCATGGGCGCTTTCTGCCACAGGTCAACAGTTTGGCCTTCAAAGCCCGCAAACCACCCCGAAGACCCCTCAACTTTCTTTAGGGCCTTGGTCGGTTTGACCTAGCAAAATTTGGCCATATAGAAGGCGGCAAAGCCAAAGTAGCAAACCATTATCACGACAGTAGTCACAGCAATGCTTGAATGACGGAGCTGTCACCGTCCCCAACAGGTACTTACCCCTATGCCATCGGTTGATACTGCTGAAATTGCCAAATCATTGCAAATCCAACAGCCCTCACTGACACAGGAGCATCCCGCATGAAACATTGTAGGTTCCCTTAACCTGAGCCAAGATAATTCACCAAGCCGAAGTTGCATCCCAAGGAAGTAGCCTTCTGATCCATGTGAGCTAGTTTGTATTTGCGTTGTTAGTCGCAAGCATCAACAAAAAATATAACCACGACGTGCTCCTGGCTGCGTACCCCCATGTGCCTACATACCCCTCACACACAATACAGTAGGTAGGTCGGTAAACGAGTAGATGGGAGATTCTCAAAAAGCAACCTCTTCTTAGTTGGTAATTACTAATTATTAAACGGAAACCACAGTGAAACCAACTGTAGGGTATTTTGAGAAACACCCTTGCACAGCCAGGCCTTTCTGGGCTTAGATGTCATCGCAGCTAAGGGTTCGCCGGAAGGCTGTCACATGAAGAGCTTCACAGTATGCAAACCCAAGAGCCAGGACTTGTAGAGGAATCTCTTCTGGGGGCCACCCATTTTGGGGGTTCCAAATTTGTGGGGTAAGCTATCAACCTGAGTACGGCTCTGGTTAAATAACAAAAAATAGTGCGAAAGCTGAGCCTAAGGTTGCTTCACATGCTTCAAATGCAGGGATCTGCCCCAAGCTGCAAGAGGCTGTCAGGTCAAGATGTCTGGATGCTTTGCAATCCATTCCTTAGCTGAGAAAGGAAAGTGTTGCTGGGATGTAGGTGTGGCACACAACATTGAAGAACCAACATCAAATCCGCAAAGAGAATGCGAGCTGGTCAGCACAACATGTACATGGGGGGGGTTGTCCTAAAAAGGCAGTGCAAGACGGCACCAAAAAAGGACACATGTGTGACAACCTCCCCCTCCAAAAAAAAGAAACACGTAAGAAAAACAAACGATACGTAAAATAAAACCCAGAACATGCATGGCGGCCAGGTGTCACACCGCAGGCAGGCTTGTTTCCAAATAGGGAGCCCAACATGGTTTGTTTCCTTTTGAGTTTTTTTCTGTTCATAGCCTAGCAGTCAGAAGCAGCGTCGCCTTACAAAGCGCCATTTGGAGCCAGGTGGATGCTGCTGGGATCCAACCCCCGACCCCTCCCTGAATACCCCGTCTCCCCTTGTTTCCCAAAATCAAGACCATAGTTTGGAGCCTATAAATTACCTCTAGCAAAACTTACCTTGAGAATGACACTATCCAGCGCGGTGGGTTGAAAAGGGGTCTGTAATTCGACACACGCCTCTAAGCCTCTTTGGGCACATGCGCCTGTAAGCTTCTAAGACTACAAGCCTCCGCACTTCTAAGCTTCTAAGCCTTCAAGCCTCCACGCCACTAAGCTGCTTCTACCCTATGCTTCCAAAGCCAATGGTAAAAATATACGTTGTGACAACCCCTTTTCTTTGACAATGGCATTTTTTGATGACTAGAGTCAGCCTCCGTTTTGGACTGGAACAAGAAAGGGCTACCGAAGACTTGCCCCTAAGGCCGCTCCGTAGGATCTCAAAGTGGAATATGTATATACATATGCAGCAAAGTGCTTGACCATTTGCGCGCCTAGTGTTGGCTTCTGCCTTTCCCGCTTTTTGCACTTCTTGGCTTAACATGGCCATGCAGTGCGTGAAGGTGAACCCTCTTCTGTACATTTCGAATCTGCCCTTCTGGCCCACCCCCTTAGCCTCCTTAGCCTGACTGCCTGGGCCTCTACTCATCACAGAACAAATTGCTAGAAACTGCCCCTTCTGAGCAAGAAAAGAACGGTGGTTCTACGCTGAAACATGTTGTTCTACGTGTTCGTTGTTTTTTCCCCCCCGGTTTGTCTACAGTTTTCTTTTTCTAGACCCCTATTCACCTGTGAGAAATTGTATCGGAAGAATACCCGACAAAGAAAGAAAGCAGAACAAAAATCTGGCGCTCAAGACTACTTAAGAGGTTGCGCTAGCAGGCGTGGTGTTCGAAGAAGAAAATACCAACCCAAAATGTGCCCGAAAGGCCAGGTCAAAAAAATGGGGTTGTAGATGCAAGAAAGGAGTTGAACAACCCCTGTTGAAAACATAGTCGAGGAAGCACAGGGTCCAAAAAAACTAAGCCTTCGAGCCTCCACGCCTCTAAGCCTCCACTTGGGGCCACTTAGGGCCTTCCAGCCACGCAAGTCACAGCATCCAATGTGGGAGTTTTGAGAGTCCCAAGGAGAAGGCTTTGGTCTTGATAG